GTTGAGCAGATGGAAATAGTTTTGACACAATTTCGTTTTCTATTTTTCTTTTCTTGAAAAAGACAAAGCTCTTTTCCCCACTTTGTCACAGCTGGTTACCAATCAATCTCAATTCACGGTACAGTGATGATAGCACATGTTGTCTGGGGGCCAAATCTGATTGGGTTGCATTTTTTCAGCAGTGTTTCATATCAGAAAAAAATGTGTCTATATGGCAGGGACTGTCAGCACACTATTGTACAACTGTCATTAATAAAATGAGCAACAATGAACGCATTCATATGTGCCAGAGACTGCTAAATTTTACAATCAAAATCACTCAATTTCTATTAGAATTTCTTCACCAGCAGTGTTTTTTTTCTTTTACCTGTTCTCTCTTTTTTTCTAGTTTAATTAAAGGCAGACCTACTGTACATTACTTGTAGAACAGGAGTAATTTTATATCATGTTTAAATAGTGGCTGTTTTAAATCTATACATATGATAACTGTTTTTTTTAAATTCTCTCTCAACTCCACACTGATAACTGAGGAGTAAGGTAGAGATAAAGGCTAAGTACCTCAAAATGTTTAACAAAATCTATTTAAAACCTGTTAGATGAAAATGAATATATGTAACTTCTGTCTTAGAGGCCACCGTACATTATAGCTAGTTTTGCCATCATCTTCAATAACTGCTAATAATATTTAGATACAATATTAGAAAGTGTTTCTTGTTACTTTGCATATTATAGAAGCACGGTTGCGATTCCATAGGTAAGTTTGAGTGTGTTTTTATCCTTTAATGAAAGGATTCAACCTTTCTTTTCTGTGCATGGTGAATACGATGCATCAACCCTGAACTTTCTTATTAAGAATAATTTTTCTAAATATTTACAAGTTTACCTGTTGATAAGTTTGGCCTAAATTAATTTAAAACTATGTCTTTTAAGAAACAGAAAGAAAAATAGGTCTTTTTCAGACCTTGACTGACATTAAAACTGGAGTAGCTCAGACCCTTTGAACATTTTGTCTAAATAAAATTTACTGAAATTTTGTGTCTATGCTATGTATGAAGAAATTAGGTTGTAATTAAGCTAAGTTAAAAATGACTGCTGAATGCAACTACTATGAGTCTGAACTGTGAGATAGGGTCACTTGCTCAGGGCTTTCTGAACTGGAGCTATGGTACAATCAGTCATCATTGCATGGTTGAAATGAGGAAATCTGCATATATGTCAGAAGTTTTCATTGGTATGTTATTTGGCTAACAGTTGTCACTGTTCTTATATGTTGCTACATGTTCGTGAATTTAGGACCAGATTCAACAGTATGATCTTGTTCCTTTGCACTGCTCTGGTGTTGCACAAACAATTGTTAAGGTTGATACAATATATCTTCAGTTCAGTAGGAAGCATTCTTTTGGGGGCTATAGGTCAGCATTCAGAGATGGATATTTAAATATTTTTTAAAATAATTGAAATTGCTTCATTGTTTAAAGGTCCAGTTCTCAGGTGTTAGAACTGAATGGCCATAGAGCCTTCAGAAACTCCACCTCTGAGTCTGGCCTTTGAGTTTTTCTCTGAACCTGATTTTAGAGATTCAGTAGCACTACTCTACATGAAGATGATGTGCTGGTCTTTGTTATGCTGGATGTAAGCATCTTGTAATGGGAGAGGTTACTGGGAGAAAGATGGAACTGTGAGAGAGATGTTTCAGTTGGCTAAGTTGTTCACCACCTACAATAACTTGTGGCTTTTTAGAGGCATGAGGAGGAGAGAAGAAAGACATGGAATACCTTCTTCTTTATTCCTTCATATTCCACCTAGTTTCTTTGGCTGCTGTGGATCAGACAAAAAAACAGGTTTTTTTCCTGTGTTCTCATTGCTTGCTTCATCTGTCAATGCTCATCATTGAACCATGGTGACTTGTGTGGACAGTGTAGGTGAAACAGATGACTGAATGGTGCTGCATCAGTGCTTTAGGACACCAGATGGTTTTAGTGTCCTGCCAGTCCATCTATCCACTGGTCTGATTGCTAGATGGCATGACCTTCTTCAGGGTGGTCCAGAAACCCATTAAGGACTTGGCAGGTGGGCAGACAACAAAGCTGGGATCTCTATTTGAAGTAATTGGTGATTGGACCACAAAAGGGACATATTTGCTCTACCTTCTCTATTAATATCCAGGTGGAACATTGCAGTTGTGTTCTAACTGTACCTCTTGGCATGCCACGCAGTTGACTGTTTCACCCAGCAGCCTTTGCACTATATGCATGATTGACAGGTGCAAGCATAAAGATTGCTGAGCCTTCCAAGGCAGCTGGCTGGCTTGACAAGACCAGCGCATCAGTGAGTCGAAGAGGACCGAGTCAGCTGCAGTCCACAGCAGAATACAGAGTTGTCTCTGAGACTGCTTGCATCAGACTTTAAAGAGTCAGTCAGTCAGTCCTGCTGCCTGTCTGGGTTTAGCTCAGCAGTGGTAGGAGAACCACTTGTGTGTTAACTTTTATTAAAATAAATACATGAATAAATTATGTCACTACAGCAGAATAAATGGCTGGGTGCTTCTCTGCACTATTTCTTTCCTTCTTCCCCTGATCTAATATCTGCATGATGAACAGTCGTAATTTAGGTATATCTTTCTGGAGCTGATTGCAGACTCTCAAGTCAAACTCCCTTAGGGCTGGACCTGTGTCAAGAAGATAAGCACAGTGTTTTGCCAGCAGCACTATAGTTAGAAGGACAATAACTTCATCATTGTGGGTGGCATTGTCATATTTTTGTGATTTTATGGAAGTCAGGGCATCCATTACTCCTAACAGCCATAGCAGAAACACTCGCATCACAGCCCTGTCAGATTTTAACAAATCTGCGAATTCTGCTAAATACTTGTCATCAGCAATCTCAGATAGGACATGAGATGGAGAAGAAGTGGTCCATCTGCTTGCCTTGCCCTTCTATGAAAACAATGATTCTGTTTGCCATTGACTAGTGCAGCTCAGCGTGCAAAATTACATAATTCAGTGCAGCAGTCCAGAAGAAATGGGCCACAACTGCATATGGCTTTCAAATGCATATTTACAGTAGTTCCATGCTGCTCACAGAAGTGAAGTTCAGCTTTCTAGTATCATAAGTCTTTTAACCATAATGTAATTATGCTAGCAGAGATTTTGGCTCAACATTTTTGGGAAGCGTTGCAATGCCCTTCTCCTTCTAATCCCCCTTCCAATCCCAGCTAGTATTCAGACATTAGCTAAATTTTTTATACTGAATAAATATACATGTAAATATAAATATAGCTCCCAAATAACTAGGAGTTACCAGGTATTTATGATCCTGTCCTGCACCCCTCCAGTAGAGTGGTTGGGACTAGTTCCTCATTTTGCTAAAATTATGTGGCTTCTTTACCTAATGGATTTACTGAATAGGCTGTGGACCTACCTCAGATAACAAAAAACAAGTCTTCAGAATGTAAAAAGTAAGATTATTTATCATGTGCTAATTGATACTTTGAGCTTTACTTAAAACAGACCTATTCATAGCATTTCAGCACATAGCACTCATGGGTTAAAACTCTTATCAGTTCTGTTAGCACACGATTGTGTAAGGTTCCAATAACTTTGCCATATGCATAGTTTGAATGCATCAATTGCAAATACAAAATAAAGGAGTAAATAGCAATAGATAATAATGTGTGTGTTCACAGAAATTAACACCTGACGTTCTCTTTACAAGTATTAATAAATTCAGTTTCACATCCATAAGTGATTGAATTATACTCTGACTCAGCAGAACATTTATACATTCACTTAAATGTGATGGAAATTATGTAGATGCTGATCTACTTTGCTTAAAGGGAGCCATATGTTGTTTTACATGTGAAGAAACTGAGGCACAGTCTGATTAAATCACTTATTCTGAGCTGGAAATAGAATACGTGGGCTGGGAGGTCCAGTCATTTACTTTAGATGATGATCCTTCCTCCTATGCTATTCATGAAACTGCAGGTAGTGTAGAATATGTGTTAATTTGAGTGCAGCAAGGTTCTTATTCCAAAGTTAACATTTATTGAAATTATTTAAATACTGGAGGAGTAAAACATACTTTATGAAAATCAATATGGTCCCAGTTAAATCCTACTAATTCATTCCAAGGCAAAAACGTCTCTTCAGTTTATTTGGATGAGGCCCTGAAGTATTTGATCGAGCCAGGCCATTGAAGGATTCCATCGATTTAAATCTAAATGTCTTTTCAGGATTTAAGTTCAAAATGCCATACAAAAGAATGTTTCTTGCACACTGAACCAGTTGTGTAGCTATACATTCTGCATTTTGGACAGATTCCTAGTTTTAGAATGAGTGTAAGATAGAAAAAAACCACAATGAAATTATGCTTTCAAAAAAAGAAAATGTTCTCTCTCCACTCTATTACTTTATTATACTTTACTTTTGTGAAATTGGTATCTTCCTCTTTAATATATCTCTTTAAAATTTAAGCTAGAATGTGGCTTACAAAATCCTGTGTTTACCTGGTATGTTGTTCGTGAGGGCTGTAGCAATCTCTCCCCAGATAGACAATTGTATTAGAAAACTATTGTTTTGGGGGGAAATATGGTCCTAAAAGAAATTTCCCAAATCAGCACAAGTAAAAATATGCTGCTCATGTAGTTAAAACCATGATAAACTTGAGTTGTCATATATTGATAACTGATGCCTGATAGCTTAATTTTATCATATTGCTCAAGATCAAGGGCAAAGTGAGTGATATTATTAATAAAGCCCTAATACTGAGTGAACATAGCAATACTAATTTTATGTAAAGTTTTTAACTAATGCATAGTGCAATAAAAATGTCATGAAGATTAATGCGAGGTGGAATTATCTAGCACTGGGTAATAATTTATCTTCCAAAGTTGTATCCAAGAGAAAATCAGATTGGCACACTCCAGGTAGGAAATTGTGTTCATCTCTGTTGTCAACTACTTAATGATTTTTCTATTTTCCTTTTTTTTGGTAACGTAGGTATGATATCAAAGATGACTATACCTTGCGCATTAAAAAAGCCATGAGTACAGATGAAGGAACCTATGCATGTATTGCTGAGAATCGAGTTGGGAAGGTGGAAGCCTCTGCTACTCTCACAGTTCGAGGTGAGTGCTATATTTGAGTAACAGCCTATATGCATATATTTTAATCTCACTTTCTGACACAATGGGCCAAATTCTCCCTGGTCTATGTAGACATAGACCTATTGCAGTCAGTTAGTAAGGGGTCATGTAGTTAGCAAGTGTTCTGCAAATCCTGGTCCTGCAGAAGTCAATGGCAAACCTACTGTTGACTTTAATAGTGACAGAATTTCTCCACAGGTGTGAATCTGTTTCAATATTTGTAACTCAGGATATGGACAGGGCAAATAATAATACTGAAAGGGGAAGGAGAGGGCATAGTGCATTTCAAGCTGTTCTATTGTAACTGTTCTATGTGTCTGCCTTATCTCACTGTAAAAGGAAGCTAAGTCATGGAAATATAGCAACTATTAGATTTTACTGTTAACTTGCTACAGTTTAGTTTCACGTACTTTGCAATATGAGCAGACAAATGAAACATATACAGCAGATCAGCTGAAGTGCACTCATGACTGGTAAGTTATCCCTCCCCTTTTAAATGCTGTAATTTTTTTTTCTGTTCATGATCTAAAAGGATAAATTAATATGCATGCAAGTATGTACCACATAACTTTCATATCTGATTTAGTAGGTCTTCCCCCAATTGAGACGGTCTGTTCACGTTTCTTCCTGTAATAAAAATGAGGAACAAATTAGTGTGTGTGCGTGTGTGTGTGTGTGTGTTTTCCACATATAGCATTATGGAACGGAGGTAGTTCTAGTATGGAGGTAGTTCTACCATTAATCCAAAATGAAAAGATTGGCAACATCCAAAGGAATAAAAAATGTAATTAGGTATTGTAAGTTAAGGCATGGCATTTTTCCCTTAAAATGTGTTTCATCTTTGGAATCTACCAAATATTTATTTAGTGGAGTTAGACAGCATGAGGAGGGTTGAAGACCAACATCCTAATGAGTTTTCAGAATGTCCATTGTGATAGTAGATGTAGACATGCTAAAAGCTTATTGGGAGAGAAGAAGTTTTAGAAACATAAACCCAGATGAGTAAATAAAATGTAAGAGTTAAAAGCCTTTGTTTTTTTTTTAATTCAAAAAGATAAGTAGCGCTTGATACAATGGATATCACACAGACACTATTTCACAGTTTAGTGGTGCATGCTGACAGTTTTCAGTAGAGCTGTGAAAGGTTAATAAAAACATTTTTAGCTTTATCTGTGCTCCTTTTTCCTACACATTAAATCAAATGTTCAAAGTCTCTATGGATTGCTTTATTAGAACAGGGGTCAACTGACCCAAGAGGCCAGCTTCCATTTCCATCCATTTAATGCATGGACACAGTTCAGTTTAATTTGCTGAATTCAAAGAAAAAAAAAAGTCACCCACTGGCTTTGCAAGGGAGAGATGTCCATATGTAACAAAGAAAAGAAGATATTGAGATAATCCATTGGCAAAAATGTGACAATGTTGTTCTCTTTAAGTAGTGTTCATACAGCTTTCCCGTTGTAAGGCAAGAAATGCCTTGACTTGTTCTTTGTTTGTGAGAAGGATTGTTTTTCAATTTTGTAATTTAAGAGAAAAACGTCATTAGAATTCTCTCTCCAACATGTTCCTGTTCTGTCCCTTTGTCACAGGCAGAATCACACTGCCCAGTCTGGCTGCTGCTGTGGTAGCCTTAACATTCTCCCAGAACTGTGTCCACTGCATGCATTTTCCGGAGGGGGCTCTCCTGAAATCCCAGCCTAGCTGAGTTATATGAGCAGTGACTAGAACAAAGCAAAAATCCTTTGAAATCACTGGAGCTTGAACTTGACCAAATTAAGGTGAAAAAAGGAAATATATAATTTAATCGATTTTCCCACACTATAGAAGATTTCTCGTTATCTTTTTTCTCCTGGCTTTATAATTTACAGACCAAAGCTATGGTGTTTATTCAATACAAAAGAAGTCACTATATTACAAGCATAATAAACATTCAGAATGTGACAGAAAATGAGAAAATCCAAGAAATCTGAGGGCGACAGCTCAGTACTCTGGGCTTTATAGACACACAGGACCCCTGGGTAAACTCCCATTCACTTCAAAGTGATCAAGAATTGGCCCTATTTTTAATTAATGGAAGTCTTCATTTCAAAACTTTTATCAGCTGGTTATTAGTATAGTAGAATATTAGGGTTTGGGTTTTTTCACATACAAAGGCAAAAACTATTAACTGTGCTTTAGAATTCACACTGGGGTGATGCTAGGCCAGGCCTGTGTGATCTATATGGCCACTGAAAAGCCTGAGTTCAAGGATGTCCTGCCTACATGCAACCTGCCCTTCACAGCATAAAGCCCAACACCATATCCTTGGCTTCAACCTGACCTCACTAGCCATAGGAGAGGGCAGAATTCAAATTCCTTGACCAAGCCCTCATTCCCCTATCTATGAAGTTGCAGTTCTGTTCTACCTCTTCTTTTTCTAGTCTATGGGATGACAGAATATATTCTATGTCAAAAAGATAAGAAGCACACAAGCGGGAAATGGTTAAAGGAAGTGGTTATGACAGTGGTTGGGTAAGATTGCAGGTGTGGGAAATGAATGAGCCCTGAACGTAGTGTATTGCCTGGGGAATCTGTAAATTATAGGTTCTGGTTTATGAACCCAAACAAGAGAATGAATCCAGTGAACTTCTAATAAAGTCACATAGCAAGTGGACAACTCATCTATTGCTAAAATAAAGGAAGTTTCATCTCCCCAGATTCAACCTCAAGTGAATTTCCTGTCCGAATCTTAAGCTTCTCCAGATCAGGATGTCTATATTTTAATAACAGAGGAGCTGACAGCCCTTTTCCCCAGATCAAGAGTAATGAAGGGCTGTAGGTATAATCAAGAAATCACTTGTTGCAGCAACTGCTTTCAATCTTGATATCAGTCTGAAGCAGAATTAACCTGTCGATCATTCAGCAGCAATTTTTTAGGAACTATAAGTTATCTAAGCAGTAATTTGGGAGGTTCTGAGTTGAAATCCCCGTGGTCATTCCAACGTATCTGTTATATTTTCATCAGCCCTGTCAGTGAGGAAAAAGTGATGTGATATAAGCTTCCATGCCTATTGCTGGATAAGAAACACAGTGTCTTGGGCTTCTCCTTACTACAGTACTGACTGACCATGCTTAAAATTCAATTGGTATTTAGATCAGACAGTGATGGCTTCTATTTATTGGCATGACATTTGCCAGACTGTGGTTTGAATGGTTGTATTTATCTGGGGCTAGAAGTTTGTACTAATGCAAAGCCATTTTATTTCAGTTAAGCATTAACAGAGATACTTGATTACAACATACGAACATATAAAACATGTTACTCAGATGATTGGTTCACGCTAGCTTGTTCAGATATTATGTCCGAAAATATGCAATTAAAAGGATTCTTGAACAATAACCTGGACACCTTACTGAGACTGACATTTGTGAGTTGAGAGATCATGGGAGTGTCCACAGTTAGACGTAACATTGCACGTCATGCATTCTGACAGATTTTCTTTTCTTTTTTTAATTTCCTTTTTATGTTCTCACCACACCATTGTAATGTCTACAGCTCGCCCTGTCGGTAAGTAACCATCCTTCTATCCATTTTAGCATGGCTTCACGCAGTGCTTCATCTTTCATTTGCAGCAGCATTTGACCGATTTAAATACAATTATTATTAATCAGTGCATAATAGTTCTAACTTTCTAATGTGAGGCAAGTAATTTTGACAGAACTGGTATTTCTGAAGTTTTTATTGCTTCTATTATGCTATACACAATGGCATTTGCCAAATCACTAACCAGCCACCACACCAATCAATTGGAACTGTGGGGGTGAGGTGAAAATGAGCCAAAATCACTAATCCAATCATTCTTAACGGTCCGTGGATGTATGTTTAAGGGCCTGGAACAAAGGCTATTGAAGTCAACAGCAGGTCTTCTATTGACTTCAGTGGTCTTGGTATCAGACCATAAATGATCTGGCTTATTCTGTTTTTGCTTACATAAGAAGAAAGGCTAAAGCTTTGCATGTCCTGTTTTTTTATTATTTTATTTAATTATTGGTTCCTCTGTAGAGTTTTTTAAATAAAATAATCACAGTCCTTAAAATGAAGAGGAGTTAATACAGTTGGGAATGTGGGGGAGTTTACTAAGGTGCATTTTTATCTGCAAGTTATAACACTCTTGGAGAGTGCAGGTTTTGCTTTTGGAGTACACTAGAGGGCACCAAATAGTATGCACTATATTTTCACTAAAATGTCCAGCAAAAGTCTACCTCTGATTTTTCACTTGGGAATTTGTATCCTCTAAAATTTTGAAACCTGGTTATAGCTTTCAAAATCATGGTTAAATTATAAAAAATGAAGCTAATAGAAAATGACACCTATCCATAGCTAAGCATTATTCTTATATTAAGAAATATTCCAAATATTGAATTTATTTTTATTTTCAATAATAGATTATTGCTCTCTGCCAAGGAGAATTTCATGAATTATTTAACCATTACACTGCTACAATCAATGTCATGGTGCGTGCTTTATATAAATTGAAATTGAAATCTGTATATATGAAATTGAAATATATATATGGATTTCAGTTTATATATATATATAAATATCTATATCTATATATAGATATAGATACATGAAATGTTTAGTTAATTTAGTCTATTGTATTAGTTTGAAAAGTTAATATTTGTTTTAATAGACAATTCTGAAGGGTTCAATCCTGTATGATTCACTTCAGATAAAAATCCTGTTAGGAGTTTTGTTTATCTAAAATTTGGGGTTTGAACTTAAGTATGTTGTATAGCATTTAGAATTTCTTAAGCAGAATTTCACCCTGGCTCATCAGTGCATCATACTCCAGCTATATACAGATTTCCATTAAGATTAATGGAATTACATCATGTGAAACTAGTGTCAAGTTATGATGACTTAGGTCATTTGTTTGAAAGATAAATATAATTTGTAAGTTGATAAAGATGGAACATGAGCAATTAGAACACCACCAATAAATGATGAATATCCTTCCCTTATTTCACGGGAGAAATACAACAGGGGAAATTGCAAGTAAAATAGTAGGTTTCTGTGTGGTTGATCCCTGCTCCCCCCCCCCCCCCCCCCCCCCCGTTTAGAGCAGTGATCTTTAACCAGGGTACCAGGCAATAATAGCACTGTTCTGTATGTAAATACCTACATGTAGATCACAAGATAAAAGCAGAGATTTCATATAGTATCAAACACATTCTACTTGTTGTGGACTTTGAGTTCTTTGCAGCAGAAAAATTACTGTAGGTTTTTTTTCCTGTGAAAAGCTAAGAGCTGGAATTTTTTGAAGGGTGCCTTGAGCATAAAACAGTTGAGAACCACTGCTCTAGAGCCTTGAGTCATGATTCCATCTCTTAAGATCATACCAAACCTTAAGTTATTCAATTGCTAAGCATGTGGCTACTTTGTAAGAGTGCACTGTGGTCAGCTTGACTTTTGCTATGCCATAACTGTTTTATATTGTTAGAGGTCATCATTGCTGAAAAAATGTCTCCCTTTATTTGATTGACTGAAAGAGCCATAAATTATAGTGGGCTACTTAAAATAACGATTGTATAATATGATGTTTATCAAAATATTTAATTCAATGATTAGCCTTGTGAATTGAGAGATGGGAAATATACCAACCCCTACTACACACAAGTGTATGGTGACAGCAAGTAGATTTATTGTATATAAACAGGCAGTATATTAACAGGGAATTTAATTATCAATGCACTAAAATGGCAGCAAAACATTATAATTCATGTCTAACTGAATAATAATAATTATTACCAAAAATAAACAGAAAAACCCTGTTCTTTTCATAACTTAATGTATGCCTATATTGTTCTTGCTCTTGTTCAATGAGCATAGGGCCACTTTCTCAGGGTTCTCATATACGTTGCACCAGTGTCACAGCCCCCCAGTCTCTACTGATAGAACAAAAGTAAAGGCGGGGTCAGTTACTTAATATCAAAATACTTAGCTGTGTCCTAGAAGCATGTGTCTTGTATGGTATATTTGTACATACATATATAGTCTAACAGTTGAATACAATCCGTAGTTTAAAGGTTTTTCTTCCTTCAAGGTCCCCATGAACCATATAAACTCTGCACATTATATTTCAACCTGTTCTTCTGGATGAAAATGTCTTTTGAAAAAACAGAGTCTGAAAACAAGGATTTTTTTTTTTAAATGTATTACACTTTGAACCTCGCTACTTTAATATTCCAAGATCATATAGTAGTTCTTGTTGCAAAATGGGCTTTTACAGTTTTCAGTTTAAGGTGTTTTGCTTTATTTTGGTTTTGTTTTATTTGCACAATGGTGTTATGAATCTATTTATTTATTTATTTATTTATTGACTTCGACATTTTTGTTTGAATTTCATTTGGAGTGGAAAATTCCAGGATGAATTATTTCTGTCAGTCACCATCTATGGTATGTGCTACATATATAAAATGAAGCATGGTCCTGCCTAAGGTAGATGGCAGCTGGTGATTTCAACAGTTCTGCACCAGATTAGTCATCATGTTTTGATTTGCTGCTAGAATAAATGTGTTGCCCATCTCTAAAATAGATGTTCTCTTTATAAGCTTTTGAAATGATTTCCTATGGAAGTTATAACAGATGGGTTTAGGAAGTTGGATATTTATCCCTATTTAGACCATTTACTTCTGTGATTTCACTCATCAGATGGGTTTTCCAGACAAGCAAGTTAATATTTTCACACATTCTGGTTTTTACTGTCTCTCTTATGCCAATCGTACATTGGAATAAACCTGCATTAGCACTGGGACAAGCCACAAAGCTTCTTCAGTCTTATCTAAAAGTAATCGTTATCCTGTTCCTCTAAAAACAGAGATCAAGTTTATCCTGTGTTCCACAGTCCTGGCTTTTTTGCCAGGGTCAAAACAGGTCAGTGGGTGGTGGGGGAGGGAAGGGAAGGGAACAAGCAGAAGGAAGGTCAGTGGAGACAGTCATTTATACATTGTACCCTGAATGGTAATTAATTCAAATTAGGCCCAATTGTCCTGGGAAAAGTGGTATCTCAGCATTTCACAGGTACTTAAAGTGAGACAATGGGCTAACACTTTTGTAGGGTCCCAGAATAAAAAGCTTTGTCTAATCCAATGAAATCCAATGCCTGAACTTAGCATATAGTAGCTTCTAAACTGTTCTGTTTGTGAATGGAAATGTAAAGAAATAGATTAAAAGAGAAGGAGGTCAATTATTAAGTTGATATTCCTGGTTAGTTGCCTTCTTCCTGATCATCCATTGAGCCAATTTAGCTCACAAACAGCACTCAGTTTTCAAATTAATTGCCTACATCCACTTCTGTGCATTTCAGTTGCATTACAGTAACTCAAGCCAACTTGATTTATGATATGACTCAACTTTCCAGAAAAATATGCAGTGCATTAAGAAGTTGGATTTCATTTGCAGTTTCAATAGGAAGTGTGCAACTGGACTTAAGAAGGAAATGGAAGGTATGGAGAGACCAAAACATTTAAGAAAACTTTATATTCTTTCCAACCTGGGGAAGGCTGATACAGAGAGATAAGTCACCTACTTTCCATTTTCTATGTTTAGTACTAATTAGATGCAATCTATTCAGATTTAAGTGAAATGTAACTTCTTGTTGCATTGTACTCTCTTCTGGTAAGTTGTCACATCATAAATCAACCTGGCATGACTTAATGACCTATCAAGAATGTTTCAGACCAATACATATGAAACATAAAGAGCCATGTTTAGAAAAGAACTGTATTATTCTTTGTTGTTTGAAATAACTTTCATTAAATATTAAATGGAAAAGGTGATTATTTCTCTCCTTTCTGGCCAGTAAGGTTGCTGTAATATCCAGCCTGTATATTTCATAAAAGTTGCCAGACTTGGGGTTTTTTTCTTTCTTTTAGTGCCAGACGTAGAAATATCACCCTTCACATGGGACATCAGGATTATTATGACAGCACCAGAAATGGTGATTGGTGTATGACAGAAGTGGTGTTATTCCACTGGGTAGTGTTGTGCCATCTTTCAGTGGCAGAAATTCTGATAATTACATCAAAGCACGGCATTTCGCCAAACTGCCTTCTGCTGTTTTCTACAGGGATTTTCGGGGTAAGCAAAAGCACCAGCAGACAGCAAGCATTTATCATTTGGACCTTCTCTGAATGTAGAGTGAGTGAACCAGGATGCATCTTGGTTATTTATCAACTGGCAAACACTTTAGTCAGATTAGTGAGGAAATCAGAAAACAGAATAAATCCAACCATGGGGCAAAATATCACTATCCTCACATGTAAACAATAACATAAAGGAGAGAGCCAGCTTGTCTTGGTGGTGATTATCCATTAAGTTTTGTTAGAAAATCCTTAAATCCATGAGAAGTTTGTACTCAGACAAAGCTTCCAATTCCTTTGACCCTATAATAGTACAATGTTTTTTACATATACAGGTTGGATATTGTAGCAACCTTACTGTCTAGTCATGGTATTATAATCAAATATCTAATGTAAAAGTTGTACTGTTATTTTAGAGCCAAC